AAGTATGTGATTTTTTGTAAAAAACACACCAATGATCTAAAACCTTTACGCCTTCACGGGTACAAAAATAAATCCACGGTGACCGCAGAGAATGAAATTATTCTACTTAATGTTAGTAATTAGCGCGACTGATTGTGTTTCTCGCAACAAAATATAGAATTAATTAACTTGTATATTGCTTTGTGACAGAATTATATAAAGTCTTTGATATTCCTTTGTTTATATTGAAATTATTAATAGTAATAAATGTGGACAAAAATAACCCTCCATAATTTTGAAGGAAAAGTAACATCACTCGTCGTAATTGGTTAAACCGTTTAAGTTACACGTTCAGTTTCAACTGTACAATTCAACTGTGTTGAATGTAGCCAAAAAGGTAACTGATCAGATTAATTGACAATTATAATATTACACAAGCATTAAATGTTCAACTGTTCGATAAATCTGAGCAAGAGTTTTGACTTCATAATAAAAAGTAGTCACTTCTTCAATTCATTATTAGCAACAAAAAACCGTTATAAATTGGGAAAATACAATTCAAACGATGTAATCATTTTCTTTAAGTAATTGTAGGAACAAACTAGTTTTCAAAACGTAAACATGTCACAAATAACTGAAGCTACAAAAGATGAAGCACGCTTTGTAATACTTTATTTAAAGAGAACTTTTGATACAAAGCGACTTTCAAGTACAAAGGATATCGTATAAGCTATTGCTTAAAGCGTATTTTTTCGCCCAACGACCATTTGAGTTTCCAATTTTGTATTCGGGCCGTTGACAGTCTTTTGTTTTCAGCGAGCTAAATAAAGTAGGTCTTTGACTAAATTCAGGGCATAAATATGAGTTACAAATTTTATACATCGGCTTAGATAAAGATTATTAAATACAAAATAAACTAGAAGTACTAGAGAAATGTAATTGTCATAGGAAAGGCGTGAATTCATACATGTCAGCTGATAGAGGTGTATGAAAGAACATACATACTGTGCCAACTCACCGTAGGGATAAGCGCAGGTTGAATGATGAAAAGGTTTTGTTAATTAGAAGTTCTACTGAGTGTCTTGTCAATGTTTAAAAAAATTAGATTCGATAACAGTTGCAGTACATATTTGCGTTTTTATAAAGTTTTTTAATAGTATTACTTCATTTGGAAATGCTTTGACCAAAATGTTTTAGAAGAATATAAACAACAATATAGTTGAAGCTAAATTTATGTAATTAAAACCGAAATAACAATTGTTACGTGAGATTTTTACGATAAAAAATCATACGTATAGTCTGTGGTAAAATTTTCATGGATTACTTTTATTTCAGGAGTTAAAATTGAAATACATTATTTATTGGAAACATTCCGTGAAACTGGTAACATTATATTCATTTAAATTTACTAGGAAAGGTGAATATTTCATTTAACCTTTATGTACAGAAAAATCCGTTTGTAGAAAATTGATTTTATCCGGTATTGTTGTGGTAGAGTCGTATCAATGTAATGGAAAAAAATTAGAGATTTTAATATGATGTCGTTAAACACATTTTTATATGAGCATACGCCCCGCGAGAAGCCGGCCGTGTTGGTAGTAATTGGTAAAACATTTAAATAGTGTGTTATGGCATTTTTAGAAACGTCATCATTTACAAAGACAAAATATCCCAAATGGAAACCTCATACTCTGGGACTGGTAAAATTTGAAAACAGTTCTATATTTAGCCTTCTACGACGTAATATAAATCGAAACGTAAAGGAATGCAGATACAACAAGCTCGTGTCTTTGTCAATAAACAACAAAAAGAAAAAAGCTCGTAAAAATAATTCAGTGCTTATCTACAAGAATCTATGGTAATCAATGAGGACATAACAAGTTGTGTTAAGTGATTTATGCACATGTCACCGGCAAATCAAGTACCCCGCCAGTTTGATACTTGCCTAAACAAATTGTAATGACTTGGGAAATTGTTTATCGAACGTACTCATTCAGAAATTGACGTGTTATGTTTTTAAAATTTATAATAATAAAATTTCATTGGTTGTTTCGGTGTAATCAGTGACCAGTCTGCGATTTTCTTTTCTAATACAAGGATGCAAGCGTTCGGCGGAAACACCAAGGTGATCAACGATGCTTTATTAATTGCATAAAGAGTTAGAAGCAAGGGAATATCACCTTAACAAAGTATCGAAATATACGTGTTGTTAACGAATTGCCTAGGCATATTATCAACGGGCGGTATTCGGGATTTACCGGTAACATATACATGATTTTCCTTAAATTTTTTGGTTATCTTTATAGACCATAAAGCGGCGCCGCACTGACCCCTAATATGAAATCCGTTTGGATCCGGTTGACGTTCTTAATTCCCTTTTTGGAAATTTTATGTTACACGTCTCGAGAACTTATTTGTGTCTTGAAGTTTCTGAATAATATTAGAATACTTTGTATTTAGCATTTATTTATAGTCTTTGTCTTATAAATGCGAGATTAGAGGTTTAATGGGTAGATCTTTGTTGCCAAGTAACTCTGAAACCATTGAAAGAATTAAGATTAAATTTATCAAAGAATAGAACGAAGTCTGAAAGAACGTATAGCTTATTTATACCACGGAAATAAACAGCTTCCAATAAATTGATTTCCTTTTTTTCTATTGTATTATTTAACAACGCTGCAACGAATTAAAAAAAAGCATTAAAAAAAACATATACAAAAGTATGTAAATAGAAGACCCTTTAATGCAGTCTGTTTTCGTAAATAACGCTAAAATAGTGCACTTAAATCCTTGAACAAGGTGAACCACCTAATGCAATATCACGTCGAGAATTTACAAACAAAATTCTTTGAATATTAGCATGCGGATCTAACGTCGGTGTACACAATAAAAAAACTGTTCATTTCGTACATGATGAATCACATGTAAATCCCGTGATGATAATTCAAAGAAACGTCCTTCATAAAGGCACCTGCAGACGATATTAATAAATAATTATGAATATTATTAAGATTATAGATTTGTACTTTTTATTTTCGTATATTTTAGGACTCATAAACTATACTAGACCGATTTAAAAAATTCTTACACCATTGAAAAGCTATTTTATCAGAGTAACATTGGCCATTTTCACCATTTTTTTTTCCCACCGGACAAAGTCGCGAGCAACAGCTAGTTCTACAATATGATAATACTTTTATTACATTAATTTTAATAGAATAAGTATTGATTTAAAGTAAAGAAAAAAGTTATTTGCTGTTATTAATTGTGCTTTTATATTTATTTTTAAAATTCAATAAAATAGTTTTGTTAGGATTTTAAAAACTTATACACAGTTTTTTTTTTGTGGTTAATTAAAACATGATTATTTATATTTATATTTAAATGAAACCATAAAAGTGTTTGTTATCTGTATATTATTAGTAATATTATAAAAATAAATATATGTCGAGGTCAGTTTCAATTTACTAAGAAAACATTAATGATAATTATATAGGTCAAGCTATCATGGCCGGCAGCCGCGTCCTTTCAGCATGGGGCTTTGGCAGCTTGGCTTTAGGCTTTCTGTTGCCAACATCCCGTTTAGAGCATTATAATTTACAACCAAGGGCCTGTCCCACCACTCGCTGATACAATCAGATAGCGTAGATGACGTCACTATCTAATAAAGAACAAATCCGATATTCCCATCACATATTTTACACGTGAGATTATTATCTGATGAATTACAAATTTGGTGGGACAGACCCTAAGTGTCCTATATTTTTAAAGAAACTGCTACCTATATTTGGTCATTGTTCCTTCCTCTATCAGTTATTAATAACTCTGAAATAACCTGTCAAAAGTCTTTCGACCATTATAACTAGGACTACTGCCTATAATTGTAATTTGTCAAAATTTCGGAGTAAAAAGACCTTAAACAACTGAATACTAAAAATCAATTATTTCTTAACATAGAGGATATTTATTGATATGTAAAAACTTGTTTAATATTATTCAATCATAACTAATAAACTAACGCTTTATGAGTTGAACTGAAAATAAATGGTTAATTATGATCAATACATTATGATTGATGCGACTTCCTAAATTAGAAAATCTCCGATAAAGACATCCATTTAATATTCTAATTTTATATCAAATCCACTTTATTTTTGCGTAGATTATTATGAATGTTAATGACTTCCTTAATTTTTTTTCTTATAGATTTTCTGCTCATCAATCGATTTACACTGTGTTGATACCTAATTATATTTTTACAGTTGAACCTCGATAACTCAAACCACGGTAACTTAAAAACCTCTCTAACTTCAAAAAATAATATGTTCCCTTCCCATCAGCCCAAAACCTCTACAACATAGACCCTTGATAACTTAAATCCTCTATAACTTCAAATATTTTGTATTTCCTTGGACTGTAACTTATCGAGGTTCTACTGTATATCTACTAGCTGTTTCCACGCGACTTCATCCGCAAGAAGTTATGAAAACTTTATTTTATTATGTCACAATTACCGTTACCAGAATAACCTTGCTTCCTTAATGTCGGCAACTTGTAGTTTATGGTCCCTTTCACACATGTAGGTTTATTTGTAATTTATTTACTTAGTTAGTATTATAGCGTGAATATAGTTTAACGCGTGTCGTAAATGTTGGGCTTTTTATTAAGGCAATAATTATTAAAAAATATGTTGTGATTGTTCACATCTTACGCCACAAAGTAGTATGTGTTTACGCTTTATTATATTAGTTTAGATATAAATAGATGGATGTCAAACTCCAGAACGGCTGAAAGATTTCAGGATGAAAAGCACTGAAACAGAATTAGTTAAATCAAGTAATCTGAGTAAATCCCAGACTGTTACAACTTATGTCCTAAAACACCGAGCTTAATTGCTATTGATGTGAAATAAGCGTCTGAGATTTTCCTCCAGTTCTATAGGCGTTTGATAAGACGAGTCGCAAGTCTACGGGTCGCCGATTAGAAATAAAAACAAGTGTGCGTCAAACAAGCAAGTCAGTCTGCATCGAGACACGGTGTTGGATATATTCGTGGAGCATTCGCTAACGAAGTGTTCTAACAATGGTACCGAAGACGATAATATTTCTTATGACGGTGGGTTTGGCGTGTGCCGCCGTCTGGATTGGAAAGCCCCCAAAGAAACCTCATAATTTAGGTATGTCAACTTTCTCTAGAACATCCGCATTTATGTTTTTTTATTAATTTATTTGGTAGGTTTTTAAAATATTGAATAATCTGTGTAGTAAATACGTGCAAACAGAAGTTATTTTAGAAATATTTAAGAATCTTGTTGAATTTGTTGTGTGAAATGAAGCATTTGAAATATTTCGATTTATCCAAAGCGCGGTAAAATTACATAAAATGTAATTTAATTTCCTTATTGTTAACCTTTTATCATCACATATTTTTAATGTTAGAATTTCAGTGGAGAAATATACGATTCTTTTAGAGGTTAATTATATAAATTAATTTATGCCTTTGGGTCATCGGGCAAATTTAAACTGCCTGATTCTTTGTTTAATTTACGTGTTCACATTTGTAGTATCACTTATGCTATACGTGCAGATCTATACATACTCTTGAAAATCTTTATCCACTTGTCAGTCAATCGCAATTTATGAAGTCGAGAAATAACTACTGTGATTAACTAAATGAAGAGTGTATTTAAATCACTCGACAATTGTAGTCATCATTAAAGCATTTAAAATTTCGATTTTTAAGTTTTTATCCAACTGAGGTAAAGCAACAATTATTGTAATATTTAGTTCATGGTTAAACTGATTAATTTACTTATGAATCCATACATATATGAGAAAATTAAGTGTCACTGTGTGGTTGAACTCCTGTGATAACCTCGACCGATTTTCATAAAATCATCCATATATGACGTCCCTCTCCGGGCTTGTGATATTTAACACTAGCTTTCGCCAGCGACTGCGTTCGCATGGAATTAAAAAAAAATAAGTAGCCTATGTGTTCCAGACTATCCTTTAAATCTATGCCAAATTTCATCAAAGTTCAGCCGTTTAGGTTACAATCTTTAACAAACATCCATCTAAACTTTCACATTTATAATATTAGTAAGAAAGTAAGAATCAGTAAGATTGGCATTCCGCACCAGCACAGTATGGCAAAGAATATACGTATCTTTTCTCTCATCCTTTGTTGTAAACTATAGCCTATTTAATAATGTAGCTTTCTAGATGAAAAGACTTTTTTATTTTAGCTTCAGAGACTTTAATACAAACAAACAATGAAATCTTTCTTCTTTATAATCCCACTAATATTATAAATGCAAATGTTAAAATGGGTGTTTGTTAGAGTTTGTAGCCTTAACTGCTGAACGGATCTCGATAACAATTGTCACTGATGTAGCGGATAGTCTGGAAGAACACATAGGCTACTTGCTCTCAATTGAACGCGGACGGAGTCGCGGGCGAAAGCTAGTATTAATATAGAAGTATAGATTGGTCGTCAGAGTAACACAGTTTTCCCAACATAACAGTAACGATCATCTGACATGAACTATATTAGATAACCTTACAGATAAGATGTAATATGGTACTTACTAGTGATGTGCTGTCGGTTAACAATAATAAGAGGAAAATATGTTCTAGTATCTAGTTTTATGGAAAATAAACATAGGTGACTTTATTGTTAGAATGAATGTCAGTAATTTTTATTCAATGGGATGTAAATGTCTACGGAAACAAGCTATCATAATGTAAATAACAAATAGGTAACGATCTCACTGACGGACCTAGCAGACGATGTCCACTACATGGTGTTAAAGGCTTTATAGCACTTTGTTAATAGTATTTTTGTTTTTCTTTTTATTTATAATTGTATGATTTCGGTATTTAGTTTAAGGTATGGGACTGACATGTTCTAAGGAACCAAAGTCCCTATAAAAATAAAGAGAAAAAAAAGATCTGACTAGTTTAAATCTGTCATTCAACGATTGACGCTATATACTCGTAGTAGGATCTTAATTGAATTGGTTAAAAAAAATGTACAATCATTCAGCATCACTTCAATATTATAAATGCAAAAGTTCCATCCATGTAGGATGGATGGAACTGGATATCCATCTAGGATGTTTATTAGAGTTTGTAGCCTAAATTGCTGAACGGATTTCGATGAAATTTGTAGATGTAGACGATTGTCTGGAAGGACACACAAGCTACTCACTTTTGTAACTCCACGTGGTTGCGGGCCAAAGCTAGTTGTCTATAAATCGAGTCATAACCAACATTCAAGGGAAAGGTGTAATGCCAAATTATTAATATTACAATCAATATTAGAGAATAGTTTATTTATTGGTCAAGCAGACGCGAATCGCGTTTTTAAATTTATACATATTTTATTGTTTTCTTTCAACCTGTTTTGTTTTCAAAAGGATTTTCAATCTCATCATTCATTCATTGAACGAGATGTCAGACGGCGCCAAGATGACATTATAATCGAATGATATAGGAATAGCCGCCGGCAAGATGGCGCCGATTAACAAATTAATCGAGGTGTTTACTTCACATATTGTCTTGGAATATTTCTTTAATTGAATGACATATCCGCTTCCTAATTGTAACAATGACAACTTTACACTAAAACTAGCTACTGCCCGCGACTTCGTCGACTTGAAATTTAAAAATATAGCCTATGTTACTCAGCGATAACGTAGCTTTTTAATGGTGGAAGAAATAATAAAATCGAACCAGTAGTTTTTGAGTTATTTTAAAATATACAAAAAGACAATAATATAAATTCATTTTTATGATATCAGTATAAAGTAAGATGTATTACTACATACCTTCTTACTATTTATTAATGTGAAGTTTGTATGGATTGATATATCACATAACCTCAGAACGTCTCAATGGATTTAGATTACAGTTTGAAATAGTTTTTTTTGATACCAATAAATATACTTAAAAGATAACAATGATAAAGTAGAATAAATCTGTATGAACGAAGTCGCGGGCAGGTTAAAACTTGGAGTATCCCAATATAAAAATACTGTATAGGAAATGACATAACTACGTGCGTAATCAAGAATTTACAAACATTAAATTTATACGACTGTCGTAAAATCAAACATCCGAAATTCGTTTAACTGAAGGTCTGATTAAAGTAGTTTTTTGTTTTATTGCTTTTATCAATACTTACGATGAATTATTTAAGCATTTGCCGCGTTCTGACGTCACAGATTCCACAATAAAGTTAAATAAAATATTCTTTTTCCCCGAATTCCAGTCTCGTATTTGTCACACGGATTTAAGACCAGTTATTTTAAATAAACGTCATCGAATGTTTATGCTATTATTGTTTTTATTTAAACTACGATAAGGGATCGAATTTAAGAGATAACATTCATTTAATAAACAATATATCTATATGTAAAAGTAAGCGAAAATACTAATACATGATATGGAAGCATACTTTTGTTGTCACGAAATGTTAAAATTCATGCTGTTTTGATCCGGAATAAATTTAAAAAGAGTATTTCCTCTTTGTTATTTTAAAAAAACATTTGATAGTAACTTAAGTGTATTTGTTATATCTTACAATAGATGTATTACCTTCTCATTAATGTTTCGAACAAAAGATATTAAAGCTATCTCGATATACTTCACCTCTACGGGATCAAGGTTCTGTGTCGTTAATATGACACGAGGTCAAATTTTTGAAGAGTTCTTTATGTACTTGGTTTATTTTACGATGATATCATTTAAAAACATTTATTTATACGTCATTGTTGTTTGTTGTACAAATGCGTCATGTATCGATTAAAAACTCGATGTATTATAATCGATTCATGTAATAATATAATTTAACGAAAGAGAAACAGACATCTAAAGTATTTCTAAACAGTAATTTATCAAAAGTATGTATTTAGAAATAAGATAGTAAATATCGAGAAACAAAAATAATACAATCGATTCCAATATTTATAAATGCAAGGTTCCAAGAAAAAGAGTTCAACGCATTCATAAAATAGAAAATAGTCGGTCTACATTCCATGCATATTGAGTTGTCGTATTATTCATTCGACGTAACATAACTTATTCTAGTAATTTGGATTCACTTACATACTTACATAATTACAAATCTCTAACATCCCTTGACCGTTAACGTTTATATTTAACCAACATAAGCTCACTATTCGTCTCCTAAGTTAGATTAGATGCTATTTAACCAATCTGATCCACGGTTGATTTATTTTATTTTTATTTAATTTTTAAGATAAACCAACAGGACAAAATTATAACACATACATTTTTACACAATACAATAAGTAACATGCAGATAATTTGTCCTAATTATAGGTTTACACGACATACATAGAAAAATAACATCAACAACAACAACAGTAACAACAGTAGACGGAATATGTTTTTATCTTTTTTTTATTTTTATTTTGTTGAACCCAAAAACTAAAAATTAAATTTAATTAATTTCACATATATCTTAGAATTTCTTTACCAATACGTAAAGGTTGCCTTACGTTTGTTCACCGTAAGAACGTGGGTAACAAAAATAATTCGAAAATCGAAAAGACTGAAACGAGTACATAAAAGGGACCGAAGCTGAACGTATAAATAAAATCAACCGACTCACGGGACCAGCATAGTTAAATAAGGTCTAGTCACCTCTAACTTAGGGTAGGCCAACAGACATCAATTCCGTCGTTAACTACATATAGTAATCTAATGATGATGATAATATAAGAGTAATATCGAGAAGTGTATTGATTTTTATTTTTTTTTGTTTACAGAACACAAAGAAGGTTGTTACATTCGAGAGATAAACGATGTTATACCGTATGGTGAGGAAATATCACCAATAGGCTACTGCGTCAGAATAGTGTGTGGGCACGATATGATAGATTACGCTTCGTGAGTATCTCTTTTAACTGGTTGACAATATATATAACTAGCTGTTCCCATGCGGCTTCATCCGCATAAATTTATGAAAATTTAATTTTTTTACATGTGTCAAATTAGCAATTGCAAATGTCAAAATGACATAGCATGAAAACAAACCATGGCAACTTTGCTTCCTTGATGTTGACAACAACTTATGGTCTCTTTCCCACATTAGGGTTTTTATCCAAAAAATTTACCCCTAAGTTTAACGCCTAAAGCGTGACGTAAGTGTAGGGCTTTTTATTAAAAGAAGAGTTATTTGAAAATATGCTGTGATTGCTGAGATCTTAGGCAACAAAGAAGTGTGTGTTTACGCTTTATTATATTAGTATAAATGACCTAGAATAACGTACATATTTCAAGCAGTGAAATAACTTTTAAAATCTTACTAATGCTATAAATATAGATTGATGGATGTTTCTTTGTATATAGCCTAAACGGCTGAACGGATCTCGATTAAATTTGGCACAGACGTATAGGATAGTTTCTAAGAAAACAAGGGATGTTTGCTTTTGTTTTAGTTCCACGCGTACCTAGACGCAGGCGAAAGCTAGTATTTAATACTTATTTAATACTATTTAGCCATTTTTTTTTCAGATGCGGTGTAGTTGCGACTAACGATCCTGCATGTCACATCACGGAGATAGACTTACACAGACCTTACCCGGATTGTTGTCCAGATATCAAATGTGACCTTGACAATAACCTTGTTTAAATGCAGCAGACGTGGTTATATGTCGGGAATTCAATCTTTAAATCGTTAACCATACTCAGAGATAGCTCTTAGCGCAGATATGTGGAAAATCTCTAACTGTTTAACCGTTAATAAATACGAGAGATATATTAAGGCTATGAAAATAAGAGAAAAAAAAATGTCACAAAATTATATTCAAAAACTTGTAGGCCTTTTGAAATGTACAAGCCGTTTATTTAGTTAAAATTGTATCTAAGACATGATTCTTTAAATTAGTGCAAGATGATATTAAAAAAACAATAGTCTTCGAAAGAAACCGTGTAGTGTGCATATGGTTTTAGAATTTGAAAATGTGTGTAAGTGCCTTTATCACCGTAAGTCTCCACTACGGATGTAGTTTTACAAACGCATTGTCATTCTCAATCTTTTTATAGTCCAACCAGAAATATTAACAATCGTCATATTGCAACGCAATCAAATTATGACACTAATTTGATTGTGTATATTAAAAAACTAGCTGTTCCCGTGCGGCTTCATCCGCATCAAATTATGAAAATTTTATTTTATTGTTTACATTTGTCAAATTATCAATAGCAAATGTCAAAATGACATGACATGATAAAACTTATCAATCTTTCTTTCTTGATGTTGGTAGCAACTTATGGTCTCTTTCCCACATTAAGGTTTTTATCCAAAATATTTACCCCCTAAGTTTAATGGAGTGAAAATATATAGCCTAAAGCATGACGTATGTAAGTGTAAGGCTTTTTTTAAAAAAAAGAATTGTTCAAAAATATGCTGTAATTGCTGACATCTTAGGCAACAAAGAAGTGTGTGTTTACGCTTTATTATAATAGTATAGATGTATACCAGAGTAGCAATCAAAGGATTTTAAAATCTTGATTAGGTTATAAAAACAGAGACATTAAAGTGGTTTTCCAGGTGTTTCGGCAGTGCATATTTACTGTAAAAGTACAAACATTGCTGTGATAGCATTTATCTGTTTGGGTTATAATATAAAGATGTATAAATATTTCATTCGCTCTATCTTAGTCTATTAACGATTCCCTGTTCCCGACATCTCACCATTAGTCATGCTGCTTGAAGACTTTAGTTCCTTGTAGAAGAGTTTGAACGTAATTCATACTCGAGAAGCTATCTTGCCGCCAAATTGTTATGAAATTATTTATTTTTAATTAAAAGACTTTTTTTTGAAAATCAGTTTTTTACTTCGATAAATTACCGTTAAAACCCGTTTAATACAAAATGAATTTTAACAAAATAAAAAAAAAAGTAAAAATGTAATAGTACTATTAAATGCATTGTGAAAACCCCAATGATGTTCAGCAGTGAACTGGCGAAGACTGATGATGAATCCATTTAGAAATGCATGTTGAATGCATTGGTCTGGTGATGTAATGTTTGTCATCAGAGTAAAATTGTACAAGATCTTTGTTCATAAAAAATACGTCTTCATTAAAAAGTAAATTAAATTTATTTGCTGATTTATTTCATCAGGCACTTTAACCTATAATTATAATAAATGATTATTAATAACGTAAACGCTGTAAATAATGAAGAAATGTGTTGATATTTAAATCAAAATTTTAAATACGATTTTTGTGTGAATAGTGAACCGAAAAATTATCTTAACATTTTTGTAAATGCATTATATCAATGCTAAGATAAATTATTTTGGTAAAATTCAATCGTGGATTTAATACGGAATTTTATATGAATCCATAACTTTCGAGAATTTACGACGCCGCGATCACTTCAGGTTATAAATTCGGATTTACGTTATTATCCCAGATTTGACTTACAATTTCATTTCCTATATCTTAAAAACTGAATTGAATATCAAAAATGTATTTAGATAATATTATATTACCAATAAACTCAATAATAATGGAAATAAATAAATAATAATGTTAACCCTAATGACAGTAATAAGCCCTATTTTGACGACAATGATTGGCAAATGCACGTAAGTTAGAAGTAAATTATAATTGCAAGCATTAATCAACAAAACTTTTCAACTAAAACCCTCCTCAATATCTTTCCGGAAGGATTTTTAGGTATTTCATCTATAAATTTAACTTCTTTTAATCTTTTATAAGGCGCTACACGTTCAGCTACAAACGCCATTATATCTTCTTCGTTCACTTTTGCACTACTCTTGACGACTATAAATGCTTTTGGTTTTTCGCCAGTTTTTTCATCTGGTACGGGAACAACAGCTGCATCGAATACTGCAGGATGCTCTTTACAAAGACTTTCGAGTTCAGCTGGTGGGACTTGATATGCGTTTACCTGAAATATTACGTATTCACCTATATTAGTCTCTTCGTCGATATTCAGGAGGAATAATTCATTGTTCATAACATTATTTAGAAATCTAGGTTTACTATGATGGATGTTTACCTTGATTAGCTCCTTGAGCCTATCTGCTATAGTCACGGCTCCAAATTCATCTACTTTTGCCAAATCCCCGGTCCTCAGCCAACCATCTTCTAAAAATACTTGCTTATTGGCTTCCGGATTGTTCTTGTAACCTTTCATTATATTTGGTCCTTTCATTACTAATTCTCCAATCTACAATGACATTACAGTACAATTAAGTTTAATAGTTCCTTTACATTAGATTTAGAAGCATTTTATTAAGATAAACGTCTCATTATGGCGTACAAGAGGACCACGAGGAATTTCTTATCGAATGTGTACTTTCGAAAACTTCGTATCAAGTAAGATTATGGTGCAGTTTACGTTCATTATTATTTTTATTTACAATATTCCTTACCTCGTCTGGACCCAGGTTGTTATTGTTACCATCAATTATCCTCAGGGAACTGCTAGGTAAAGCGAATCCCACTTTCGAGTAGTCTTTGTATCCAATTGGATTGGCTGTCGCAAGTGGACTGGTTTCTGTTAGACCGTAGGCTTGGGCGAAGTGAGCAGTGGGCTGAAATGTGATAAAAAAAATTGTTAAAAATATACCTTATGCAAGTGGAAAGTAACAGACGATCCGTTTTTTTTTCATAAAATAAAATATTAGTTCCATCAACGTTACAAGTTCACCATAGGGCTAATTCCATTTACGAAACTTTTTCTAGAAGTTATTATCCACTCTTCTTACTTAATCAGAACACGAAGTTCTTATTTTTAGGTTCATTCGTAGTTTCGTTGTTTTACAGTTTTTATTTACTTCAAAAATAACAGCAACTTTGCTTTCCTATATTAGGACATCTATTGTCTTGTCAAACCTTACTTTGAGTTTGCTTAAGAATTTTTCAATATCTGCTGTAGGCAAAGGCGCAGCTCCGCATGTTATGCATCTCAAGTGTTCTAGATATTCTGGTAGAACTTGTGGGTATGATCCCATGAATAATACTGTAATAAATAAATATTTTCTTTATCTACCCAGTATTTTAGAGGTGTAAGTCATTGGATTTACTGTCAGTTAAAAATGAATTTCATTCTTGGAACAAACTATTGAGGAATGTGTTATAAGATTATTATCTAGTTTTATTGGCAGTTGTATATTATCGACATTATTTTATTATACAAAAATTAGATAAGTAAAGATAAAAAATCTAAAACACAGTATGAACATACCTGTTGGTGGAGACAAGTAGAACAAATTTAAATTAAAATTAGATAGAATATTAACGAAAGTTTCTGGTCTGAATTGCGGCACAGTCACTAGTTTCAGACCGACTGAGAACTTATGAAGTGTGACGACTGTTAAACCATAACAGTGAAACATCGGCAAAGACACCAGAACACTGTCCTGATAGGTTTCTGTGGAAATAGAAAAGAGAAAATAATAATATTTTTAATTGAACTTTTACTAAATCTTTTAAGTAAGATTTCTCATTAAACGTGGTTTTATTCAGTTTATTTTCTTTACAGCTGACAAAGCACATAGATAGCATTTAGTCTAATTTTATACTAGCTGTTGCTCTTGACTTCGTCCACGTGAAATTAAAAAAATAGTAAAAACATGGCCTATTTTACTCGGTGATAACGAAACTTTTTAATGGTAGACGAATTTTGAAATGGTCCCTAAATTTTTTGAATTATTTCGATACATGTCAAAAAATACAAAATTCCCTTTTTACAATATTAGAATACTATACTCGTAGATATCAGCGATAGCATTTAGAAATGTTGAATAGGATTCTTTATTTATTTCTTACCAGTTGTATACTCATATTGTCTACATTCTGTGTCCTGTTGTAGTAAATTAGCTACAATATTAGAATGTGTTAATTCAACACCTTTAGGTAGACCGGTAGTACCACTAGAATATGGAAGAAATGAGATATCTTCTCCCTTACTTTTAACTTCTTTTAAAATGCTTACATCTACATGACTGTCTTCAGCTAATTCTTTAAAAGATATAGTTCCTTCTGGTAAGCTCCCGTCTAAATTAATAACTATAATAGGAATGTTTTTTTGGCATAGTTTTAATGCTTCTTTGACGACGTCAATCGTTTCGCGGACGGCGAAAATTAATTTTGTATCCGACATAGTTACTTGTCGTTGAATTTCATCTGGAATGTATTAAATAGTTTTTATTACGTGCCCGTGGCTCCAACGTGACATTAACTAACAGTAGCAAATCCTTTTTTTTTTTTTTTTTCTCGCTGGGAAAATGCATTTACGCATCCCCCCCGTTACTAGGGGGGGTATGTGGGACTCGCCGGCCAAAAAGAACAGACGTGGCCGGAATACCCACTAAAAACCCAGCGGTGTTCCTCCTGTCCGCCGATGGCTGGGTCACGGGAACACTACAGTAGCAAATCCTAGGTCAAGTTTGATGTTAGTGGAGGGAGCAATCCTTCTCTATTAACCTTAATAAATTTAAACATTTGTTGTATCGTGATGCGTTTAATTACGCCTCTCATTTGAAACTTTTCTTTGTCCACGGCGTCGCGTGTTTGTGGCTAGCTCAATTTCCATGAAAGCGAACCTCTTTTGATATACTATGAAGGTTGTATGAATACATCATTAGCGGTGGTACCAAGTTAATTTACAATGTAAATGCTTACATTAGATATTGTTGATGAAGATTCATTTACACCGACATTACTTCAGCCCTCAGATTTCATATTTAAATTATTAAAGATGTGAATTAATGTCTGTTTTGGACCTTTTTTATTGAGAATACTTACACGCTGTATAATTGGGATTCATTGTAGAAATGACACCACCAGCGTTAAGTGAACCGATCAGGGTCGCGAGGTATTCCGGCATGTTCGGCAAGATAACTCCGATCGTATCTCCTTTTTGTATTTTTAACTTTTTTCTTAAATTCGCACCAAGTCGTTGTGAATGCGTATATACTTGCTCGTATGTGTATTGTCGACCAGTTATTCCACATACCTAAAATAAATGAAAAATCTGTATAAATAAAAAACGTTTGCACATTTTCTAGTGTTTGGTGGCTCAGGGGTTTAAGCCTTTTACTTGTGGTCTACAGGTCCTGGGTTCGAATCCCAGCAATGTACCAATCAATTTTATATATACCTATATAAAACTGTCCCACCATACCAACTTTCTAGAACTTATTATTGTTTTTTTTTTTTCATTTCCATGGCAACGATTTTAGATCTCCAGAGCCCATTATAGTAATCATCGAGTGATTTAATAATTTATTCTGAATTTACAGTAGCTGATAAGTTGAAATCAAAATACGCATAATATTTAATATCTTCTTTCAAGGTCGTTGTCGTCAAGGTAAACCCGATTTAAATGCCGTTTGTTTAACAACACTGGACTTCAAAATTTAAGTAAATGTTTATTCACGAGGTGCATATTATATCCAGATTAACATAATTTAACTAAAACTCTTTTCAAATATTTTGTTTATCTTTTGCCAGTCATGAATATTGTCGTATTTTCTGAATAGTACTGGAAATTATTTAGATAACTCGTGTAACGACAGAATTTGATAAAATCGAAATTAATTCTTTAATATTATAACGATATCTAAGTAGGTAAATATCGGATTAAAACATTTGTGTGTTTAAATAATAAATGCATTTATACCTGTAATATATATTTGTAACATACGACAGTAAACGAGCAAAGGGCAAAGGGCAAACGGCCATGTAGGAGTAATGTCCTTTAAATTCTGAAGTGACCAATGTCCACTTACATGAGCAAGAAGTGAAAGTTGTAGATATGTCGTTAGTTATTACATACTATAATAAACATAGGAACGGATATGGAATAACATTTTCCTACACACCTCTATACTTGTACTTATTCGTCTATACTTCTATTCTATTCTAATAAAGCGTAAACACACACTTCTTTGTTCCCTAAGATGTCAGCAATTACAGCATGTTTTTGAATAATTTTTTCTTTAATGAAAAGCCCTACACTTGAGGTACGCTTTAGGCTATATATTTTCACGCCATTAAACTTAGGGGGTTAGTATTTTGGATAAAATGTGGGAAAGAGACCGTAAGTTGCTGCCAACATCAAGGAAGCAAGATTGCTAAGGTTTGTCATGTCATGTCATTTTGACATTTGCTTTTAATAATTTGACAAATGTACAACAATAAAATAAAATTTTCATAATTTCATGCGGATGAAGCCGCACGGGAACAGCTAGTTAAAGAATAGAGTTGTTCAAGGTCGAGGTTTAAGGTTTAAAGATTTCTTATTTTCAAAAACTATTTTACAATATCACTTACATGAGAATATTACTCCACTTATTCCATAGCTCGTCACCGATTTTAATTATTTTGAAGATTTTACAAAATTTTCTAACATTTGTTGCGATAAGATAGATTCAAATGTATTGAATGTGCTCACTTTTTTAATGGACGACTGTAATTTGTAAAGATGTGTAAAGTGCTCGTTCATAGTGTTTTCTTGTACCTTATATCACTTAAATATATATAGATCGCGGGCAAAAGGTCACGGGGGGGTTCACCTTCCCGATGGACCGATCACGTGCAGTCCATACTGGGACTCAACATTCGGACTACCCTGAGACGAGCCGAAGACAGGGCGGCGTGGAGGCAGCTGGTAGATGAAACGGTAAAGGCTTACCAGGGCAAGCCTGACCTTCAACAATGAAGATACGAAGAAGAAGAAATCACAAAAACTCTGCACACAAAACAATAAAATAAGTAAAGAAGAAAAAACATCTTTACCGCCGCAGTTTTCGTTGCCCACTTCTCCAAATTCTGCACCAGATGCTCACCGACGCTAATATTTGGAATTACAATGTCTTTAAATGGCGATTTAACAATATTATCACTTGTCCATACATGTTTCTTCTTTGTTAATACACCGAGAAAGTTTCTATAATCATTTTTAAATGCTTTATTTATCAATTGCGTTCTAAACATGTCAACAATATTTATTTACACGGAGTGTGTTAACTCTCTATATGTTTACATAGACTTCACTCACGCAAAGTCAGCAAATGACTGAAGTAATCAAACGCAGCAATGACCGTACACACTGAGATCGTTTCACAATAGAAACGAACATTAAAATTAAACGCTATCATATCAGTCATCATCTTCTGTCCCTTTATCCTACTCTATATTTTTTTATAAAATAATTGGTACAATCGTTTACATAACTATTGAACCTATTGTAACAACAGAACCTACTCCTGTAAGTCAGTGATTACTTAGACATCTTCTATTCGGTGTGGTCTAAGGATACCATTATTATATACCTGTATTCGTGCATTTCTTAACCAATCTTTTTTAATAAAAACAACACAATTTTAACTTATCCACAGTTGCAAATACATATTAAATCTACGTTATACGTTGTCGCTCAGGTTTATTTAAATTGACCGTTTAAATAATAAATTTTGAAAGAGTTTAGATTACGCTTCGGTGTAAATGAGGACGTTGCTACCAATTATCATACTTGGTCAATGTAATGTGATAATTCTGGACAGTTTCGATAACATTGCATAACGTGTCCATTTAAAGTTCAAAGTTATTTTATTTTGTTTGATAACTATGTTTTATCTTATAACTAGATATATCCCGCGACTCCGTCGGAATGGAATTATAGAAAAAAGTAAGTAATCTGTGTGTTCTTCCAGACTATCCGACCAGAACATCAGTTTTTTTTTGTTTAGCCATTCAAGCTACAAACTCTAACATCCATCCATTAAGATAAGATATAATAGGATGTTTTCTTACTGCTTACAAAGTGGTTAAGTGAGCTGAGGTACATCATCAAGAGTAAAATGTTTTTATAAGAGAAGGGGCAAAATGAGGACGGGATAATGAAGATCATCGACGCCCATGGATTAGTTGGTCTCCGGCGTCTTCATCTAGACTTGCTAAACATTCTAAAAACAAACCCTGGAATAGCACCTAAAGTATCGCAGGTTGTGTGATTGTCGATTGTTTCTCAGCCAATTCAACTGTTTAGTTGCATAACTAAAAATCGAGTAGTGTGCGCACTTCCATAAGCGAATAGGAATCATAGCGCGACTAAACAGTTGTTCGATAGTTTAGTCAAAAGTGTAGACACGCTTTTAGGATGTCTATAACGCTTACATATTGTAAAGTAGTTTTAGTTTTTGTCCATCAGTATTTGAAATAAGTACTTTAATACAAAAAAATTATGACTATGTACAGGTATTTTTGTTAAAAACAGGATGTTATCTGGTATCCGTATAATTTTGTCGAAGTCACAAATTACATTAATTTCTGCAAATCATCTTTACGCTACAAAACAGCTAAGTTCTCATTTACACTATTACATTTATAGTCTAAGTGGAAATCTGTACTAACATAATAAAGAGGAAGGATTTGTATTGTCGTTTGAAAAAACTCAAAAACTACTTTGCCGATTTCAAAAATTCTTTCACCATTATAAAGCTAGTAATACATTACTTAATTTCTATAGTATAAATAGTATAAATTCTAATAGTATAAATATTTTTAACTGTCGAAGGAAAGGTGAAAGTGGACATGATGAAAAAGTTAGTGATGACTGAGATGACGTATGATAGAGTTATTTGGAGGACAACAACCTGTTGTGCCGACCCTACGGGAGTAGGACAGGAGAAAGGTAAGGAATGTGGAATAACATTTAAACATTGTTTTAAATAAGGACACGCTTAGAGTTTACTCCAATATTAATTTATTTCTTTAATAAAACATCGTTTAAAGAAACAGATTATGTGTACTTTACGTTTATTTATTACAAGTAAATATGAGTATAAAAAACAACATATAAAATAACCGCGCTAGATGTGTCTAAAGAGGAATATAAGCTTGCGTTTCCTGCTGTTACACATGCAAATGTACATATATAGTCATTTCTGTTTTATTCATAGAGAACTCAAAGGACGGCAATGTTGTAGCTAGATTTAGGAATATAAACATCCTCGCCGTATCGCGTTGCTTTGTAGCTCTTTACATCTATACTATTATAATAAAGCGTAAACGCAGACTTCTTTGTTGCCTAAGATTTCAGGAATTACAGCATATGTTTGAATAATTCTTTTTTGAATAAAAAACCCTACACTTACGTCACGCTTTAGGCTATATATTTTAACAAAATTAAACTTAGGTGGTAAATATTTTGGATGAAAACCCTAATGTGGGAAAGAGACCATAAGTTGCTGCCAACATCAAGGAAGCAAGGTTGTCATCATATCATGGCATTTTGACATTTGTAATTGATAATTTGATAAATGTAAACAATGAAATAAAGTTCTTATAATTACACGAGGATGAAGCCGCAGGGGAACAGCTAGTAGTATATAATAAAATGATATGTTTTTGGAAAAACTTATAGACTGTATTTTAAGAGCACTTGCACATATGTACTGAACAACAGAGCAACCGTTTAGTCTCGCCTTGATTCCTATTAGCTTATATGGAGGGGCGCATATTCGATTTTAAGTTGTACAGAAACATTGAATTGGCTGCAAAACAATCGACAATCGCAGTTGTGAGATAGTTCTGACAAAGGCATACCTATACTAGCCAATAAAGCCAGCTGTTATTCGTAAAAGAAAAACATTGCAAAATGTAAATATGAGTGCGATAGTGTCGCTATGTATTTTTAATTTAATTATAAATTATAAAATACAATACCTAAATTATTATATAATAATATTGATCCTTTCCAGTCTTACATAATATATTTTACTTAATTACATAACGATATCCTAGTAACTTATAACAATAGATATTACTACTGTTTTAAACCATGTCAAAGCTACCAATTTTCTTAATAAATCCGGGTTTAAATCTACGAGTATATTAATGGAAACCGTGACATAAAATGTCAGAAACAAAAGCTACGATTTAAGGCTGTTCCAATAATTGAAAAACTAAATTTTCATCACGTTACGATCAACAACTAATCACGGAAAAAATCCAGCATTCAGTAAAATGAATGCACATGAAATTAGTTGTGTAAACCAAAATGACAAGAAAAAAACAATTACAGTTTTTCATGTTGCCATGGAACCTCAAATCGTCGCATAATTTGGACAATTCTTAAGACTTATTTATAACGCTTGTGTAACGACCCAAAGTGGGTTGTCTTGGATACCAGATATCGCCGACTCTTAAAACAGTTTAGAAAGCGCGCACAGACTAAACTATCGCACAACTGTTTAGTCGGTTTCTAAGATAATTCCTAAGAGTTTATATGTGCACAAACTACTCGATTTTTAGTTGTGCAACTAAACAGTTGAATTGCGAAACAATCGACAATCGGACAATAGTTTAGTTAAAAGTGTGCGCCTTTAGTATAATTTTAAATATCTAATGACATGTCTATTAAAAGATTTAGCAGAATTTCTCTTTTAATTCTCGTCTTAAAATTTTCCCAGCCGAACTTTTTGGTATACTATCTATGAATGTTATATCTTCAATTCTCTTATATGAAGCTACTTTCTTATCGACAAACTGACTGATTTCTTTAGCACTAGTATTGGTGTTTGATTTTAGAACGATGAACGCTTTAGGAGATTCGCCCTTAGTTGGATGAGGCACACCGACGACTGCAGCCTCGTTGACGTCAGGATGTTCACGAAGAACTGCTTCCAATTCCGCTGGAGGCACTTGGAAGCCCTTTACCTGTAATTTGTAAATACTTTATTATTGTTGTCAATAACGGAATTAGGATAGAGCGAGGTAGGACGACCAGTTAAAGTGGGAACTTAATTCTTATGGGTTTTTATTGCAGTTGGAGCGTCCTAGGAATCTCGCCCAGCTCATAAACGTTATTCTTCTGTGAAAGTATTACATTTTGCCCAACAATGAAATTGCTGCAATTTCTTATTTATCTGTTGGTTATCGAACTCTCTATAAATACCTTTTCGATTTAAGAATACAATTAATTTATCAAAGGTGAACATACCCAATAATATAAAGTAACGGGAGGAAATATTGTTGTTTTTATAAATAAGAGTTGATTAAACCAATATGCAAATATGGAACACAGTCTCTTCCAGTTAAAAACAAATAAAATTTTATTTTTATTACTTATTTAAACTGTATTCTTAGATAAGTCTTATTAATATTATTTTATCTTCAAACGAGCTGTCGCCCGCAAACTTCGTTAGCGCAAATTTGGACCATCCGTTACGGCATTTTGACAGCATTAAAAAGTACCCTATACTATGCCTATCCATGTCAGCTACCTTCCAGCACAGGTCCCGTCGAAATCGGCCCAGCCATTTTAGAGCTTACCCGGAACAAACGCGGATTGCGGACAGACAGACAGATAGACAAAATAAATTTAAACGCGATTTTCGTTATAAGCAACGCAAATACATCATCTTCCCGAAATATGGAATTTTTCTTTTGATATTACAGACACTCCAATATTATTATATGTATAGATAGAGAAATAAAGCCACATTTAACTAGCAGACGGAGTCAGTCGTAACTTAATTAAACTTGTTATTATTGAATAGACTCTTGAACTATTGAATATTCGATTGATTCAGTCATTCTATTTGCTTCAAACCACAAGAGTTTCTGTAAGGGTTCTGTTATAAATTATTGTTTCATTGTATAACGTAATTCTGATCTAATAAAACACACTAAAGCCTTTGTTTCAGAATAATTGATTTATGTTGTAACACGAGCAGATTTATTATTTACTTGTTAAATCAATTACTTGAAACAATTAACAAAAACGATTTTAAGTCAATTCCTTTCCAAATAAACATTTTATTTAAAATATCACTATAACTACTAGTCAAGATCTTTTGTATCAGCCATATAGTTTATTTGGTTTAAACCATATCAACCATCCCGCACTTGTCCAGCACGGTTGACTAAGGCCTAGTCACCCTAACTTAGCGTAGGCTCCGAGCCCCTCGGTGGGGACGTAGTGAGCTGGTGATGAATATGATGAACCATGTCAGCTTACTAACGATATTATTAAAATGAGAGCCTCGTGTTCACCAATAATTTGAAGACATGTAGCCAAATTTATCATCAGTTGATGTTCTTATGTCATACCTTGATCAACTCCTTCAGTCTATCAGCTATGGAGACATTGCCCGTGTGGTCTGCTATCGCCAGATCTCCTGTCCTGAACCAGCCGTCTTCTGTAAATGTCTCTTTGTCTGCAGCAGCATTGTCTTTGTAGCCTCTCATCACTTGAGGGCCTTTTACTAGCAGCTCGCCTTTCTGGAATGTTTACAATGATTTAATTTTATCAAATAAAATTAATGTAAATTCGAGTGAGATTGACAATATTTGGAATCTCTAGTTCCTTTCAAGCCTTTTACGGCAACGCATCTGTATTTCCTCTGGTGCTGCGGATGTCCATGGGCGTCGTTGACCACCTTTGTGTTCCCGCCGCTCGTTTACCCCTTCTCATATAAAAAAAAGCCTAGCTCCTGAAGCAAAACTTCAAATTAGTCACACCTTAGTCTGTCGTAAAAGGTGACTAACTTAAAAGCGTTTTACATTTTGTTATTTTTAGTAGAGCAACACCTGATAACATCAAGTAACTGGTAAGGTTATTTACATAGCACGTTGTAAATGTTATTTTTTAATGCATAAGTGCAAATCTTACCTCATTTGGACCCAAAATCTTCATTTCGCTGTTAACAATCTTCAGATCCGTATTTGGTATAGGGTATCCAACGCATCCATAGTTATCTAATCCTCGAGGAGTGAGTGTAACAACTGGAGAGGTTTCTGTTAACCCATAGCCTTGCCGGAAATCAAGTTTACGCTAGAAAGACCAGTTTTATTTTTTTTTGGCTGGATTGCGTGAAAGGTGACATGATCAAGAAGGGAGTGATGACTGAGATGAGGGATGATAGCGTTATTTGGAGAACGAAAGTCCGGTACGACAACTCTACAGGAGTAGGATAATTTAGAGGAAATGATGATGATGGATAATGTATTTACACTCGTATTATATTCAGACAAAACAATGATCACTAACCCTTTGCCTATTTAGCACTTTCGAGTGCCATAACACAAACAAAGTTTATTTTAATTCCTTGTTAATAATTATTTTTGAACTATTCTAACATCTCAGTGGTTGTGTATGCTGATGATGGAAAGTTAAATTTAGGTAGTACCTTTGATTTACTGATGAATCTTTCCGCATCGGTTTCTGCCAGCGGTGCGGCGCCGTTCACAATTGTTTCTAAGTATTGGAACTTCTCCGGCAAACCAGCAGGATGGGTCGCCATCATTATCACTGGAATTATTTAATGTAACAGTTTTATTTATTATTCGTACTTTTTCACGTCACGTCATATCAGATTGACTCTCACGAACTTCCAATTTGACTAAAGGAGTCGAGACAAAATAACCTTAACTACTAAGAATTTAGGAACATATTTTAGTTTAACTATATTGTTTACGTACCCAAAGGCGGTGCAACAAATATAATATTTGTCTTGTATTTCTGTAGCGCATTTAAGAACGTTTCCGGTTGAAACTTTGCCATCGTCACTAATTTAATGCCTTGTGTCATTTTGTGAAACATCAACACTGAGGCACCATAAATGTGGAATAAAGGAAGCACTGTCATAATAGCGTCTTGATGTGTGGCTGAAAATCATAATTAATGTCATTTATGTTAGCATAATAATAATTGGACGGAAATTCTATGTTTTTATTTAATTTTACATTCCACTACAAACACACTCCATTTGTTAGCTTTTAAGCTGTTCAAATTATCTCTTTAGAAAACAGTCAGACTCTCCCTTTCCAGTATGTTTGTCTGAAACGTATTACGTCTTACGTAATTTATTTATCTGTAAGACGTAATTCATAACATGTTTACTTTTTAGTTTCTGATAAGATTAATCTAGCTTTAAATATTTTGTGCTCTATCGGTCAATCGTTGAAACACAAAAACTAAGTACTTGATATGAAAATACTAATAAATCGGCATTAGTACTTTGGCCACTCATAAATTAGATAAAAAAACAGTAAATGTAGGTATTGGAAAACCTGAAATTATTGTTTTGTGCTTGTCTGAACCAAGGACTTATGTTCTGGCTTTGGATGTTTTTTTACTTCTCAACATTTCTATTTTTTACGTCTTCTAGTTTCTATATCAATTCGCCAGTTAGCCCGGTGTCATGGCATGCCCACACAGAAGACGCTGTTTGGAAGGAATTTCGTGTCTAATAAGTGGTCATACCATAAGTCTAATTTACTAAAATTAGAATTAGAGGACTACCTTTTTCCCTTCCATTCCATCCATTCCTCACAGAGAGAGGATTTGAAGGAGAGGTGTATAGAAACGGGAATTATCCTTATATTACCTTCTCGATTAAAAGTAAACCAATCTGCAATTGCAGATATCTATAACAGCGGTCTTTACGCTATTTAGGCATAATTAGGTCCCCGTTTGCTTGTTTGCCATCTTATAATAAAAAAAAAACTGTACTTACCAGTAGTATCATTATGACATCTTATAAATGGTTCATTTAGCTGCTCGCAATTCGCTATTAAGTTCCTACTGGAGAGCTGTACACCTTTAGGTAGTCCTGTAGTTCCACTTGAATATGGTAGGAAACATATGTCATCAATACTTCGTCTCACTTCTTTCAGACAAGACTTATCTATATGTACATCTTCAGTCAATTCATGGAACGAAACTATACCTTGTGGTACAGATTCTCCGTTACTCTTCACAGCTATTATAGGAATGTTTAATTTTGCCAATTGTATAGCTTCTCTAACAGTGGCCACTGTTTCGGAAATAGTAACAACTGCCTTTGCTTCACTTAGTAGCAGTTGACGTTGTATTTCGTCTAAAATCATTCCATTAGTGAGTATTAAATTTGATTTTAAGAGCGTGCGCATACTTACTAAACTATCGCAGAACTGTTTAGTTTTGATTTCTATCAGCTTATATGGATTTCCGCACACTACTCAATTTTTAGTTGTGCATCTAAACTGTTGATTTGGCTGAAAAACAATCGGCAATCGCACAGCAGTTATGCGATAGTTTAGTCGAAGGTATGCCCCTGTTTTAAAAGTTTCAGGCAAATAGTCAATTACATTTATGAGTGATTTCTGAGTCTTCTTGTAGTATTTTTTTCTTAAAATAGATAATCAACATTTTTTCTCTCAATCAGTTGATGTTTTAGCGACAAACTTTGTTACAATGATACTTCATTGTTAATGTTTTCATTATATGTTTAATGGCACCAAGTATTTAACCATAAATGTATTAAATTGCAGTTTGTTGATATTAAATTAAAAAAAAATTAGAAAACTATAAATCTAAATGAAGTAGGTTTTCGATAATAAATTTTATAAACACTATTTTAAATCTAGATCGGTGTAGGTCATTTATGGTGCCATTAAAATTATTACGTTAACAGTGCTTTCAATATTTACCATTTCCTTGTATACTGAAATAACAGCTCTTTACCAGTATATGATCATCTTAAATTACACTAACAATACAAGCTTACACTGACACCCGTCAAACGCCTTTGTGAATACAAAGTGAGAATTTGTTTTAATATTTCGGTTCTGGTGATTATACAACACATTTGTACAGCGTTAGTATCTTAAAAATATAATAATAAAACAATGAATTCAGAAAAATCAAAGGAATAGTTTACGTAAAATAAACTATACTTTAATTTGTGAGTAAGTGAGAAGCTCAAAAAATATTAGACGTTTTTTAAAATAAAATAGCAAAGACACAGTTTGATATTCTTGCTATTAAATTTTCATGACGAGTTTATTTTGTAAAAAAAATGTTGTTTGTTACATTTTATATGTGAAAGAATAATGTAACAAATACTTACGTGGGGTGTATATGGGATTTATTGTACTTATAATACCCCCAGCTTCTAATATACCCAATGCTACTAAAGGAAAGTCGGGAATATTGGGCAACATAACCGCTACCGTATCTCCGTCGCGTAACCTAAACTTCTTTCTAAGATTAGCGGCGAATGTGTTTGATAGTTTGAATGCTTGCTCATAGGTGTATCCACGGCCTGTTGTTGCACAAACCTGAAAAAATTAAATTACAATTATATCTTAAGATCTAGATAAACTCAACAAAAAAAACCACTAGCATTATCTACTTGTAGCAAATAAATGTGTGAACGCAAAAAATTATCACACTAATATTATAAATGCGAAAGTTTAGATGGATGGATGTTTGTTAGAGTTTGTTGCCTACACGGCTGAACGGATCTGGATGAAATTTGGCACAAATGTAGAGGATAGTCTGGAAGAACACATAGGCTACTCGCTTCTGTTTTTTTTTAATTCCACGCGGACTGAGTCGCAGACGAAAGCAAGCATTAAATATTATCGAAATGAGTCTAGACATTTATCTTACTATTTTCCATATATTTTATTGCTTATATACATGTATTTCGTCAAAAATGCAGTTAAGATGAGTCATTATTTATGTACACTTATCATATGAATTTTTGATTATTGTTTTCATTTTATCGAATAATTCATGTAAAAGAATATGATTCAAGTTTCAAATTGTTTACAATCAGTCTTTACAAGCTGTTGCTCGTGACTTCGCCCGCGTGATATAAAAAATATAGCCCATGTTATTCTCTGATAACGCAGCTATTCAATAGTGAAAGAATTTTTGAAATCGGCCTAGTAGTTTATGAGTTATTTCAATACATACAAGAATACAAATATTTCCTCTTTATAATATTAGAATAGATAAAGATTATTAAATAAACACTCACCGTTACAGTACGTTCGGGCCATCTCTCCAGATTCTGCCATATATATTCATACAGAGTGCAGTTTGGTACTTCAATACTCTTAAACGGCGATTTTATTGTTCCATCTTTTGCCCATGCATTCAGTCTTCTAGCACTTATAGTTGTACATTTTGATGTCACTTCTAATAGTTTTATAGCTCTGTGGACTGCCTCTAGGTTTTTCAACATCTTAACGATTGTAAAACACTGTCTAGTTTAACGCCATTCGAACTAATGAGCTATACACATTAGAACCGTCACATACTGAAACAAGATAATGTAAGTACATATAATCAGTATACAATATGTTATGAACGTGTTGCGAAATTGCGTTATCATTGTTACGTTTAATAACTATTTTATGCTTGATGAAGCTAAGAACAAAATGCCAGCTAATATGATATAAAGAAATATAAAAATATATATTAAATATCATATGTGTAATATTCTGTTACATGAGTTAAATAAATTATTATTATTATTATTAGAAATTACTTATTAAAAATTACAAGTTCATTATAATCCAACCATATTTATACATGAAGAAACTTTAATACGTACATACATTTTAATTGCTTACGAAGTGTTAAATCATGTTTGCTTTGCAGAACATATTGTATTCCCTTTCTTTTGCGAATAACAAAGAGAGATAACGATATACATTGCACGTAAACGTGAGTCATGATAACAAAGACCCCACGCCCATTATGAGACTAGGTTTTAGCCGCGACTTCGTCGGCACGGAATTAAAAAAGTGGCCAATCTGTTTCCGGCTATGTTCTGTGTCAAATTTGATCGACATCCACCATTCCAATCTTTGGCTTATATTAACATGAGTGTACTTCCCCGTTAGAACCTGCATATTTGTATTATAAGTAATTTTGCTACTGTCCTTACATTTTTTCTGGTTATCGTTTCCTGTCCATTTAAAGCATATATCTGTATCTCTACATATAACAAAATTAGAGTGTCTGTTTGTAATATCAAAAGATGTATTTGCGTTGCTGATAACGATAATCGCATTAAAAAATGTTTTGTCTGTCTGTCTGTCCGCAATCCGCGTTTGCTCGGGTAATATCCGAAACGGCTGGGCAGATTTCGACGGGACTTTCACTGGAGGGTAGCTGACATGGATAGGCATATTATGGGCTATTTTTTTTTAAATTTCGCGCTGTCAAAATGACGGGCGACAGCTCGTTTAAAGTATATGTTGTCTACATTGTCTGACCCCGTTCAATGAACTACAACGTCAATGAATTGCATTGTCGGCGTTTGTTCTCACGTGAAAGTGTGTTCGCATAAAGCACGTCGTAAACATAAGAATTATTAAGTCTACATGAGTTACAGAGTTTCTTTAAATGAATTAATATACGGAAAAGCAGAATGGATTTGAAAAAAATGTATTCTCTAGCTGTCTTTAAGGTCTCATAATAAACCGGACTTTGCCAAGGATACTACTGATTTGACAGAAAAGAGATCAGGCTTTACCAGTCAGACGAAACCGTGGTATAGCTATTGTTACGTCCATAATATTCTTTTGTGTATAATAACAAAATCAATTGCCCTAAAGATAAAGGTGCAATGACTTAATGCATTTGTTTACAAACATTATGGATACGCATGCTTCCTTAATCGTAGTTTTATTGAGAAAAAAGAATTACAAGTTTCATGTCAATGCTTCGAATATTCAAAAATAAGTTTGCTGACAAAAGCTATCTGCCAGCATTCCAGTTACACGAATATTGTTTGAATACTATCTACCGACATTGTAAACAAATTGTATTCAATTTGTTCAGTTTAGCATTACCTTCAACATTTAGTAACTATATTAAAGGACCGCAATTTACATTCAATTTAGCAACTTAATATATTAAAAAGCAACATACCTTATTACAATTTAAAGTAATCACTATATATTTCAAAATACAATATTGTTTATAAGACTTATAATGTCGATAGTTGCGCGACGCGGATCGTGCGTTGACTGAGCTATTTTTAACTGCGCTCACACATATACATGTTCTCGTATACACAGTCTTCCAACCAATGCAGTACAGTCTAGAGATGTGACATCATTCGATACGTTTGTAGAAATTCAATCGATTTATCGAAATGAAACCACGTTAATCGATTGGACAGAATAGAGTATGTTAAGCGCGCCTGATTTTAATAGGAATCTCTTTAGAATTGTTCTAGCCACATGAGTAACCTTACTAGCTATCGCTAGCGGTATCTGTGTGGAATCTATAACATACTAGCTGTTGCTCGCGACTTTGCCCGCGTGAAAATAGCAAAGTTAATGAAAAATATAGCCTATGTTACCCACTGATAACGTAGCTTTTTAATGATGAAAGTATTTTTGAAATCGGTGATGTAGTTTTTGAGTTATTTCATTACGAAAATCCAAAAATACAAATCTTTTCTCTTTATAGATGCAAAAGTTTGGATGGATGTATGTCGGCGTTTGTAGCCTAAACGGCTGAACTGATTCGATGAAATTTGGTATAGATGTAGAGAATAATCTGGAAGAACACATAGGCTACTCACTTTTGTTTTGTTTAATTCCTCTCGGACGGAGTCGCGGGCGAAAGCTAGTAATAAATAAAGTGTTCAATAACACTAGAATGACATAATCTTAACAACTAAGACGCCATAGCATAGCGTATGTACTGCATAAAAAAATGTGAAATATACATTTATTTTATTAAGTAACTAAGAAATAAACACAAACTACGAAAGAACAACCCTTAAGTCAGTAAGGTTATCAGTTCGTGAAAACTAATATTGAATAGCATTTACATTAAAGAATGTTAGCAGCGTGTGAATCACATTTTATTGTTTTAAAATTATTTTAATTACAATTATTTAAGATAATTAAAATTAATTTTATTTAACATTAATTTCTTAGAAAAGATAAAATTTTGAATTTTAATTACTATTTATTGTTATCTTAATAAATAAGTTGGGAAAGAAGTTTTGTAGCGATGAAATATTGATAATACTTCTTACAAGTCTTGCATGTAAATGCGAAAGAATAAATGGATGGATGGATGTTTGTTGTCTACACGGCTGAACGGATCTGGATGAAATTTGGCATAGATGTAGAGATAGTCTGGAAGAACACATAGGCTACTTTTTTTCAATTCTTTGCGGTCGGTGTCTGGTCGAAAGTTAGTTTCAAATCTTACTAATATTATAAATGCGAAAGTTTGGATGACTCGATGGATGTTTGTTAGACTTTGTAGCATAAATAGCTGAACGGATTTCAATGAAATTTGGTACAGATGTAGAGAATAGTCTGGATGAACTCATAGGCTTTTATTGTTTTTTTCACGCGGACGGAGTCGCGGGCGAAAGCTAGTAAATTGTATTGTGCTGTAAATAAAAAGCGACAACACTACGCTGAGAACATGTGACATAAAATCCGTGATGTAACTAAGATGTGTTTTTATAATGAAAGAAAAGAAAATCTTTTTAACTTTGTTGTTTGTAACAAGTTTTTGTGAATTTGTCTCATAATGTGATAATCACGATTATAATAAAATCTTTGATAATTTGGATTGATATTTTAGCCACACTGACAACATTAACTATTTCAGTTTCCTTTGTCCAATTTTCTTAAAATACGATACAAAGTTTTTGCTTAATCTATTACTTGTTCCCGTGTGACTTCATCCGCGTACATTTATGAAAATTTTATTTTATTGTTCACATTTGTCAAATTATCATTAGCAAATGTCAAAATGACATGACATGATGTATGTATCCAAAGTATGGCAATTTTGCTTCCTTGATGTTGGCAGCAACTTATGGTCTCTTTCCCACATTAGGGTTTTAGTAACCACACTTACGTCATGCTTTAGGCTTTTTATTAAAAAAAGAGTTATCCTTATTTACACAGTAAAATAGATAA